TAGTTATTACACACGTACATACAACATTTTGCAAACAAAATTTCAACTATAATAACATACTAACATGTTTGGTTGAATTGGCAAGTCCTCCTTTGTAACCTTAAGTTCTCCAGTGGTCCTCGATGACTTTGTTTCCAACAACGACAATAGATGTTCAAAACATTGCAACTGTTCACAATATTACATTATTCACCAAATAAACATAGCTCTGAATTAACAATATTACATTGTTCAAAGACAGGTGCTCCACTGCCCAGATCTATTACATAATAAAATGTCATCAGTCACAATAATTTCATATCAACTAATAAATCAATCATTTGTAAGAAAGTTACCTGTAAGACAGCCACACAACCAGCAACGTACAATTGAGAAGCATTTTTTTCCTCGTTTAACTTTCTACTAGCACGATGCAAACTATTAACTAATAAACCGTGCACAACATTTCCCCAATTATAATTATCTAATGCCTCTAAATCATCTAATAAACTAAAAGGAACACTATGAACAGTGCGGGATGTGCGAGGAAAGTAAAAAACCGCCCACCCAAGTAGGATATAAAGCCTACAAAAGTCAACTACATATTTAACATGCTTAATTTTTTTCCCTTTCAGCTTCCTAACTATATTTGTTACTGTTATTGGTTCCTCTTCGTCGAATAAATCTTTTACTAAACATGAACCATTATCTTCTAAAACAACTACCTCCCCCTTATACGTAAACCTAACGAAAAACAAACATCTAAAGGGGTGAATGGGACAAGATATTGTTTTATTCTAAAACAATGATCACTAACTGACCATCGACTAACTAGTTCTCTTATAATATTGCTTGATATTTGCAATGGCTCTTTTATTTGAAGAAGTCATTTAAACGGAGTTTGTTCAATAGTTGCTCGTTGGTGTTTGGTCAACTTTGAATTTATATCGCCTATATACTCGTCTCAATCTTGTGTCTTAATCTTATCTGCACATATAACATGTATAACATATATAACATACATAACATATAACAAATTGAAAATTTAGTAAATCACTTTTCATAAAAAAACTATAATTAACATGCACATACCTTTTTCTCGTTAAGACGGTCTCTTTTTGCAGACATTTTTTCCCAAACTAATCCTGTTACAAATTATTAAAATTGTAACTTACAATCACAAAATAGTACAAACAAAAAAATTAAGTCCAACCATGTTACACATACTTTTGGTCAAATTGTGAATTATGCAAACGTGGGTGTAAATCTTGTGCATATTATACAAAATGTTTGTCATGCAAATACAATTCTTCATTATAGCATTTCAGCAAACACTTGTTCGACATTAATATAGCATCACAACTGAATAAACCCTAAACCGTGAAAAACACATTCATTACAAACCCAATCAAAGATAATCAGAAAAGAAAACAACAATGGAAACCCAATCAAAAATACACACAAAATCAAGCAAATGTTGTTAAACGAACACTCACCACCGCAGGGTCGCTCAAGCAACACACAGTGATGTTCAGCTCCAACGACACGGACGAAGCCAAGCGACAGGAAGTCGAGCGCCGTCAAGAGCGAGATGGAGAAATTTTACCCTAAGTCGAGGGAGAAGAAGTCGAGCGAGGAAGAGCGCGAATGTGAAAAGCGAAAATGAAAGAAAGAACCTTTTTCTAACATTTAGATAGCGGTTATTTGGCCAACCGCTATCTTAACTATACATTATTATCGATTATTATCCAGTTATAATCGATCAGATTGACATAGACTTTAGATAGCGGTTATTTGGCCAACCGCTATCTGAACTATACATTATGATCGATTATTATCCAATTATAATCGATCAGATTGACATAGACTTTAGATAGCGGTTATTTGGCCAACCGCTATCTGAACTATGAATTATGATCGATTATTACCCAATTATAATCGATCAGTTTTACATATATGACTTTAGATAACGGTTAATTGGTCAACCGCTATCTGAACTATACATTATGACATATATGACTTTAGATAGCGGTTATTTGCCCAACCGCTATCTGAACTACATTTATTATAGCGGTTATTTTGCCAACCGCTATCTAAGGTCGCCTCGCGCTCGAGCGACTATGTAATCGCTTGAGCGACTATGTAATCGCTTGAGCGACAGCGACAATTGAACTTTTACCAAACGAAAGTAAACTCCTGCAAATCCTGGAAGGAGAAAAGTGTACCCTTGAGTTACTTTTTCTCATATGAGCTCGTACAAAGGCGCCAAGAGCTTTCTTATTCACTCTTGGCGGGGACTACTACTGGGAAATTACACCAAAGGAGTGAAAACTTTTTATGCTGTTGGCTGCTTGGGCGCTTACTCGCTCTCGTCTATGCCCTTGGTGTGACGCAGTTGGGTATCGATTTGACTTTCGGATCTTTAGGTGGCACTCACCGGCCCCGTCTTTGCTCTACAAACTCATGGAAAGGCGGGAGCCTGGAAGCCAGGAAGAACGAGCCCTTCAATTCTTCTATAACATCCCCCATTTTTACAATATTACATATCTGAACCCATACAATTTTACTAATCAAACCCTTATTTTTAATTAATTTCTTTTTAGCCCCGGTTGTCTAACAGTTGTTTGTTTTCGGTTGTCAAAGAATCGTTTTCCTAAATAATACATCATACTTTAATATTACTTATATTTTCCTCTTCTCATTCTCCCTTTCTTTTTTTCTCTCTTCATTTCTCTCTCTTTCTCCCTCCTTATTCTTTTCACACCCAACACACTTATTTATATTCAATTTATTTTAACTTTTTTACATTTTTTTAATTACATTAATTATAAGTTTTTCTCTTCCAAAAAGAGATAAGCCTTATCTTATTTTATTTTTTTTCAATTATATATACATATATTTAATAATTAATTATTATGATTTTTTTAATAATATTTTTTAAAGGGTATGTTATTATAAAAATATTTAAATTATCTAAAAATATTATAGTTTAATATATTATGTTTTTAAAAAAATTACATAGTAAATTTTTGAGGTATTACCCTCATTGGTAGGTTTAATAAAATAAAGACAATATAATTATATAAAAAAAGCATGATCCTATTCTAAATTAAAAATCTTAAAAAATTATATTTATAAAAAAAAATTAAGTAATTTATAAATAAAAAATATTTATAATTTAATATTATAAAATTTTAGATTTTAGGACGAAAATGATATTATATTATTTGATATAGTTATTTGTGTTTCGTTTAAAAGAACATCTCACTTTAGTAAAAAAAAAAACAAATAAATTAGTCTTAGTAACGAATTTCTTGAAATCTACTAAACCTAATTTTACTAATGTCAAGTGAAAATTCCATCTTCAAAATTATTTGAATACTTAAATAAGTTATTATAATACTATAAATATTAATATTATATTTATATATTATTTAATTTTCTTATTTTTATTGAAATGTAAAATTTTAACTTATATTTGAATTTTTAATAAAATGTTGAGTATAATGATTATTTATGCAAATATTATTGCTTAAAAAATGTTTAAAACTCAATTTTCAAATTATTAATGAAGTGATTTTTTTTGGAAAATGTTTAAATTTGCGAGGTATCATATAAAAGATAAAAAAAATATTACGATGAGAAAGTTGTTTAAACAATCCTACGAGGTGAAAGCTTTAGTGGTATGGAAAATTGAATTCCCATTTATTAATAAAAGAGGTTTAAATTAAAATTGGCAATCATCTTACAAGAATATTATATAATTTTTCATCTTTCACAATCAATCATTATTAAAAAAAAAAGGTGAAAATGTATTTTTAAGTTTTTGATGTATTAAATGGGTGCATCAATCCATATCATCTTAAAATGGATTACACTTGTATGAAGATTGGGAAATGAATAGGAATGACCCATATTATAAAAATTGTTCTGGCTCAAGGGATATGGCGTTTTAGGTATTCTTCCTCCCTTTTATAATCAAATTTCCCCTTAGATTTTTTCCCTCTTTGCATCTATCAGTCCCAATAATATCTTATTCTCCGTACTATCTACGCATCGGGCCCATTAAGTATCAATCAAGTCCATCTCCCCCAAATGGGTTTATCTTGACCCACTTGACTCATTCAGTTGGACCTGAGCCCAACCAAACCCAATATCTATGCACATATCAAAACCCCCAAGTCTTAAATTAGAAAAATATTTCTAATGCAAAGACTAAAAACCGAAATAAACGTCGAATACACTTCATCCCTTAATATTTCATGATATAATTGCAAAGTTCAACCACTTAAAAGGAATAAACAACCATTAAAAATAAGATTTACAGTGACCATCGTCTTGATTTGAGTGTGAAAATTGTTTCCGCGAGTACTTGAATTTAGATGAAGATTAACCTGCTTATACTTGTACTCCAATTTAGATCGCGTTTCGATCTTAGTTCGCATTCCGAACATAGCTCGCATTCCCAACATAGGTCGTATTCCGTCCATAGTGCGTATTCCGGACATAGCTCGCATTCCGAGCATAAGTCGCATTCCGACCATAATGCGTATTTCGCACATAACTCGCATTCCGAGCATAGGTCGCATTTCAACCATAGTGCACATTTCGCACATAGCTCGCATTCCGAGCATAAGTCGCATTTCGACCATAGTGCGCATTTCGCACATAGCTCGCATTCCAAGCATGGGTCGCATTTCGACCATAGTGCGCATTTCGCACATAGCTTGCATTTCAACAATAGTGCGTATTTCGCACATAGCTCGCATTCCGAGCATAGTTCCTATTGGAACAAATAAAAAACAATATTTTTAAATAACAAGAGAGAGAAACTTTCTTCGCGCGTAAAAACACAAAATATATGAACATATTAAATGGATTCGATTATTATAAGAAAACTGAAGTTAAAGAACATAAAATTCACTAACTCACTGCATAAACGAAGATAAATTCTAACAAAAATGTTAGCAGACATAGAACTTGACCTCTAAATAGTTAAATAGTAGTTTAATATCTCTCTGTCAAGATAAAAACTGCTTAGTTGAGCTCCGCGTGTGGTCAAGGAAATCAAGGATCATTCGTTGGCGAACTTCAGTACCAAAAGATTGTTGACCAACGATGAGATCCGACTCAGTTAGTTTAAGCGCGACACGCCCCTGAGCGGCGGAATCAGTAACATACGCCTCCCAATAGGCCCGGTTAAAGTCGGCAGGGACCAACTCTGGAAAGATACCTGCGGGTCGAAATTCCTGCTCAAGGGCAAGAAGTTGCTCGTCCAGTTCATGTCGAGCTCTGGCTAACTCTGCCTGAATTTCGACGTTCGAGCCTCACCGACGCGCCGCACATCTCCCTGTCTATTCGAGAGGTTCGTATTCTAAGCATTAAACAAGGAAACAAGGGCAATCTCAGGCGCCGTAAAACGCCATGCGCCCCGCTTACAGAGTTTGGCGCACAAATTGAGCTTACCCAACGCTTCCTGCCCGAGCACGGACTTTAGATACCGTAAGAAAGCGTAAAACTGACCCGCAGAGTAGCCTCCAATGATGTCGAAGCACCTGGCCCCACAACCCAGTTCACACACCTCCTCGAGACGGATAGGATCGGTGTACTCAGTGAACAACTTCACCGCTGCAACAAAATTCTTACGGGTATTACCCGTGTGCAAGATAAGTTGCAGTGTCAAAGATATTCGCTGGGAAACTGATCCCAGAGAGCTGAGCCTAGACGACCTCAATGGTAGCAAGTTCGGTGTTCTCAGAAGGGGGATACAACTGCGCAGGAGTTGCAACACCGGAAGAAGCACCTGCATGGATAGGCACAAGAAAAGCAAACAGGTGAAAAGCAGGAGAAATAAAGGCAGGCACAAGGTAACAGAAAGTCTAAGGAGGGACGGGTTGCGAAAGGCTAGAAATTGGGAAGTAAGAACGGTAACCACACGCGGAGCTCAACTAAGCAGTTTTTATCTTGACAGAGTGATATTAAGCTACTATTTAACTGTTTAGAGGTCAAGTTCTGTGTTTGCTAACATTTTTGTTCGAAATTATCTTCGTTTATGCAATGAATTGTGTGTTCTTTAACTTCAATTTTCTTATAATAACCGAATCCATTTAATATGTTCATATATTTTGTGTCTTTACGCGCGAAGAAAGTCTCTCTCTCTTGTTATTTAAAAATATTGTTTTTCATTCATTCCAATAGGAACTATGCTCGGAATACTAGCTATGTGCGAAATGAGCACTATGGTCAAAATGCGAACTATGTGCGAAATGTGCACTATGGTCGAAATGCGACCTGTGCTCAGAATGGGAGATATGCGCACTATGGTCGAAATGCGACCTATGCTCGGAATGCGCAATGTTCACTATGGTCGAAATGCGACCTATGCGAGTTATGTGCGAAATACGCACTATGGTCGGAATGCGAGCTATGTGCGAAATACGCACCATGGATGGAATAAGACCTATGCTCGGAATGCGAGCTATGTTCGGAATGTGAACTAAGATCGAAATGTGATCTAAATTAGAGTACGAGTAAAAGCAGGTTAATCTTCATCTAAATTCAAGTACTCGCGGAAGCAATTTTCACACTCTACATCAAGACGACGGTCACTGTAAGTCTGATTTTTAATGGTTGTTTATTCCTTTTAAGTGGTTGAACTTTGCAATTATATCATGAAATATTAAGGGATGAAGTGTATTTGACGTTTATTTCGATTTTTAGTCTTTGCATTAGAAATATTTTTCTAATTTAAAACTTGGGGGTTATGGTATGTGTATAGAGATTGAGTCTGATTGGACTCAGGTCCAACTGAATGAGTAAAGTGGGTCAAGATAAACCTATTTGGGGGAGATGGAGTTGATTGATATTTAATAGGGATGGCAAAACAGGGCTAGGCCCGGCGGGCCAGCCCGCTATAATATGGCAGGGTGGGTTGGTGTTTTCAACCCATCGGCTCGTTTTGGTCCATCCCGCCAACCCGTGGGACGGGCGAGCCAACCCTCGACCCGCCTAATTAATAAAAAAAATATTTTTTTAATGTAATAAAATTAATTATAAAGATAAAAATTTTAAAAAGAGAATTAAAAAATTTCACTCTCACAAAAAATATTCTCCCTATCGAAACATAATTTTCTCTTTCTTATTCTCCTTGTTCATCCTAAGCATTGATTATTTTTATCTTTATGACTTGAATTAAAGGTGTAAGAATTAATTAACCAAGAATAATATGAAGTTTTATCAAATAAAAAAGATATAAGTATTTAAAATTTTTAATGTAAAAAATATAAATTTTATAAGTTTTAACGTTATATATATATATATATATATATATATATATATATAATGTAAATTTATTATTGTTCTAAATTATAATTTTTTAAAACAATGTATTGATTTATATTATTAAATTAAAATAATATATATATATATATATTAAATTATTGACAAACAAATAATAATATTATTATTAAATTTATTAAAAAAATTGTTTTAAAAATAATTTTTTTTTCTAAATTATGGCGGACCAGCCTACTCAACCCGCCCCTTGGCGGGCGAGGCTAAGGTCTACAGTCCAGTCATGACTATAACTGGCCAACCTGCTCACTCCCGCTTTTGGCGGGCCAAATGCTGGCAGTGCGCCGTTTTGCCATCCCTAATACTTAATGGGTTCGATGCGTAGATAGTACGGAGAATAAGATATTATTGGGATCGATAGATGCAAAGAGGAAAAACCTAAGGCAAATTTTGATTATAAAAGGAAAGGAGAAGACCTAAAACACCATATCCCTTATTAAGAATATTTTATTAATTCATTAATATCAAACAAACAAATAAATAAATATATATATATATATAAAAGAAAAATCATTAAAAAAATTTAATAACTTATTTATTTCAATTGTTTTATTTTTATTTTACCTTATTATTAATTATAATATTAATTTACTTTATTTTTTAAAAATAAGCCAATATTATCTCATTATCTTAATGATTAGACGATATAATTGATAAAAAATAACTTTAACTCATTTAAAAAATTAAATAAATACTCCAAATAATAGAAAAATAAAATAAAATAATGAAACAGATAAAAAAATAAATAAAACGATCAATTTAGCTTTTGACTAAAACTTGAAGTTTATTCACTAACCTTGATCCTGCAGATCCACAACACCCTCTTGAATAATTTTGCTGACGTGGATTGAAACCCACGTGGCAGTGGCACTGTAGGTTCGGAAAGCGATGACCGGAACCCCGAACTCTCGAGCAGCATCCATGGCAATCGTCGACATCAACCCATCGGATACTACGCAAGAAGGTGGGTCCCACCGACAGTTTTTCTCGACAAGGATCGAGAACAGTTCTCGGAATTCTTGGGCAACCTTGGACCTGCTGGTCGGAGATATTATGAGCTCGAACTCGTTCGCAGGAAGGTGTTGGGGCACGCCGTCCGTGATGGATGCAAAGTGAAAGGCGGGGAATTGAGCATGAAACAATGAAAAGTCTGAGAATTGGAGGAGGCGACTGTGGTTGTGGTGTGTGTTGACAAAGGTGACTCTGTGGCCTCGGTGAGAGAGAAGTTTGGCCAAGTTAAGCATGGGTTTCACGTGCCCTTACACAGGAAATGGTAAAACCACCATGTGAGGTGCCTTTGAGTGCTCCATTTTTGCTTAGCAAGAGAGAGGAGGGAACTTGCAATGAGATTACAAGTTTCAATGGGGAGCTAAAAAAGAGGTATTTTCTTGTTTTACAAGACAATAACAAACCAATTTACAATTAGTTAAACCTTTTGTCTTTGTAGTTATCTCATTTTCAATTTAGGGTTACAATAAAATTATCATGAGATCTTATGTTTCAATTGTATAAATTAATTTAATTTAATTATTGTTGGGTAATCTAAATAAATTTCACTGACTAAAAATGTTAAAGTTGAGAAAGTATGAGTTAAGTTACTTAACACGTATTTGGTTCATAGTATCGTTTCCAGTATTTTTTATTCGATTTGCAGTGTCATTTTCAATATTCGATATTTGATTCACGATGTTTTGGTACTCAGTATTCAGCTCTTAATATCACTTTCGATATTCGGTATTTGATTCTTAATGCCAAAAGATAGAAAGAAAAACCTATAAGAAAATATTTAACTCATTAAAAATAGGATATATATACACGAAAAAATATCAATATTATTGGAAGAAAATTGTAAAACTAAAATAATCTCAATAAAAATTTAGAGGATCAAAATATTATATCATTTGTAATATTAATTGTATCAATTAACATAATTCAAATTCAAACAAAATAAACAATGAAATTAAACCTTTAAATTTTATATATATTATTCAAACTCTATTATTTGACTCTCATAAACAATATGATTGTGCCGCTCAGGGGCATGTCGTGCTCCTAATTGAGCCGAATCTCATCGCTGCTCAACAATCTTTTGGTACTGAAATTCGTCAACGAATGATCATTGATTTCCTTGACTAGAAGGATAACCGTGTCAATCTCTTGGCATATGCTCAATCCAGAATTGACGGAAGGGCACCACCAGGAGTGGATTGAGCATATGCCAAGATATTGGCACGGTTATCCCCCTGGTCAAGGAAATCAAGGATCATTTGTTGGCGAACTTCAGTACCAAAAGATTGTTGAGCAGCGATGAGATCCGGCTCAGTTAGTTTGAGCGCGACACGCCCCTGAGCGGCAGAATCAGTAACATACGCCTCCCAACAGGTCCGGTTAAAGTCGTCAGGGACCAACTCTGGAAAGATACTTGCGGGTCGAAATTCTTGCTCAAGGGCAAGAAGTTGCTCATCCAGTTCATGTCGAGCTCTGGCTAACTGTGCCTGAATTTCGGCGATCCGAGCCTCACCGGTGCGCCGCACATCTCCCTATCTATTCGAGATGTTTGTATTCTAAGCATCAAACAGGGAAACAAGGGCAATCTCAGGCACTGTAAAGTGCAACGCGCCCCGCTTACGGAGTTTGGCGCGCAAACTGAGCTTACCCAACGCTTCCTGCCTGAGCACGGACTTTAGATACCGTAAGAAAGCATAGAACTGACCCGCGGAGTAGCCTCTAATGATGTCGAAGCACCTGGCCCCACGACCCAGTTCACACACCTCCTCGAGACGGATAGGATCGGTGTACTCAGTGAACACCTTCACCGCTACAGCAAAATTCTTACGGGTATACCCATGTGCAAGATAAGTTGCAGTGTCAAAGATATTCGCTGGGAAACTGATCCCAGAGAGCTGAGCCTGGACGACCTCAATGGTAGCAAGTTTGGTGTTCTCAGGAGGGGGATGCAACTGCGCAGAAATTGCAACACTGAAAGAAGCACCTGCATGGAGAGGCACAGGAAAAGCAAACGGGTGAAAAGCAGGAGAAATAAAGGCAGGCACCACTAGTGGAAAAATATGATTCTATGACGACATTTTATCACGGTTGTAATCCACCCGTCATAGTATATAGGGCGGTGGCATTTTTGTAATAATATTATGAACTTTTTATGTCGGTTGTTATATAACCGACATGGTATGTGGACAAATTCACTTTTTATGTCGGTTAAATTTTAACCGACATAGAAAGTACTTTCTATGTCGGTTAAAGTTTAACAGACATAAATAGTGAACTTTTTATATCGATTAAAATTTAACAGACATAGAAAGTGTATATTAAATAAAAAAATTAAATATATAAGTATATAAATATTTATATATCAAAATATATAAATATATTTGTATTTATATATTTTGTATATAAATATAATTTATTTATAAGTTATGTATCAGAAATTCGTAGTAGTTTAGTGGTTGGAGTATCGGTCTCCAACTCTAAGGTACTTGGGTTCGAATCTTGTTAGACATAAATCTCTTAAGCGAGATAATAAAGTATAATAAAAATATAATATGAATAAATAAATAAAAATCGTATTAGTGTAGTGGTTGGTCTAATTCTAGACTTTAATGTACTGGGTTCGAATCCTACCAGTGACAATTTTCGTATGACGGTTCATCACAACCGACGTAAAAAGTCATACTTTCTATGACCCCTATATCTATGTCGCCTCTTTAACCGACGTAAAAAGCTCATTTTAACCGACATAAAAAGCCTTTTTTGCACTAGTGCACAAGGTAATAGAAAGGTCAAGGAGGAACGGGTTGCGAAAGGCTAGAAATCGGGAAGTAAGAACGGTAACCACACGCGGAGCTCAACTAAGCAGTTTTTATCTTGACAGAGTGATATTAAGCTATTATTTAACTGTTTAGAGGTCAAGTTCTGTGTCTGCTAACATTTTTGTTCGAATTTATCTTCGTTTATGCAGTGATTCAGTTAATTGTGTGTTCTTTAACTTCAGTTTTCTTATAATAACCGAATCCATTTAATATGTTCATATATTTTATGTCTTTACGCACGAAGAAAGTCTCTCTCTCCCTCTCTCTCTTGTTATTTAAAAATATTGTTTTTCATTTGTTTCAATAGGAACTATGCATGGAATGCGAGCTATGTGCGAAATGAGCACTATGGTCAAAATGTGACCTATGCTCGGAATGTGAGCTATGTGTGAAATGCTCACTATGATCGAAATGCGACCTATGTTCGGAATGCGAGCTATGTGCAAAATGCGCACTATGGTCGAAATACGACCTATGCTCGGAATGCGAACTATGTACGAAATGTGCACTACGGTCGAAATGCGACCTATGCTCGAAATGCCAGTTATATGCGAAATACGCACTATGGACGGAATATGACCTATGCTCGGAATGCGAGCTATGTTTCAAATGCGAACTAAGATCGAAACGCGATCTAAATTAGAGTACGAGTAAAAGCAGGTTAATCTTCATTTAAATTCAAGTACTCGCGGAAGCAATTTTCACACTCTACATCAAGATGACGGTCACTGTAAGTCTGATTTTTAATGGTTATTTATTCCTTTTAAGTGGTTGAATTTTGCAATTATATCATGAAATATTAAGGGATGAAGTGTATTTGACGTTTATTTCGATTTTTAGTCTTTGCATTAGAAATATTTTTCTAATTTAAAACTTGGGGACTGTGGTATGTGCATAGAGATTGAGTCTGGTTGGACTTTGATCCAACTGAATGAGTAAAATGGATCAAGATAAACTTATTTGGGGGAGATGAAGTTGATTGATACTTAATAGGTCCTATGCATAGATAATACAGGGAATAAGATATTATTCGAATCGATAAATGCAAACACCATATCCCTTGAATAAAAACACAAATGAAAATTATTTTTAAGAATATTTTATTAATTCATTAATATCAAACCAATAAATAAATATATATATATATATATATAAAAGAAAAATCATTAAAAAAGTTTAATAACTTATTTATTTCAATTGTTTTATTTTTTATTTTACCTTATTATTAATTATAATATTAATTTACTTTATTTTGAAAAATAAGTCAATATTATCTCATTATCTTACATGATTAGACGATATAACTGATAAAAAATAACTTTGACTCATTTAAAAAATTAATTAAATACTCCAAATAATAGAAAAATAAAATAAAATAATGAAACAGATAAAAAATAAATAAAACGATCAATTTAGCTTTTCACTAAAACTTGAAGTTTATTCACTAACCTTGATCCTGCAGATCCACAACACCCTCTTGAATAATTTGGCTGACGTGGATTGAAACCCACGTGGCAGTGGCACTGTAGGTTCGGAAAGCGATGACCGGAACCCCGAACTCTCGAGCAGCATCCATGGCAATCGTCGACATCAACCCATCGGATACTACGCAAGAAGGTGGGTCCCACCGACAGTTTTTCTCGACAAGGCTCGAGAACAGTTCTCGGAATTCTTGGGCAACCTTGGACCTGCTGGTCGGAGATATTATGAGCTCGAACTCGTTCGCAGGAAGGTGTTGGGGCACGCCGTCCGTGATGGATGCAAAGTGAAAGGCGGGGAATTGAGCGTGGAACGATGAAAAGTCTGAGAATTGGAGGAGGCGACTATGGTTGTGGTGTGTGTTGACGAAGGTGACTATGTGGCCTCGGTGAGAGAGAAGTTTGGCCAAGTTAAGCATGGGTTTCACGTGCCCTTACACAGGAAATGGTAAAACCACCATGTGAGGTGCCTTTGAGTGCTCCATTTTTGCTCAGCAAGAGAGAGGAGGGAACTTGCAATGAGATTACAAGTTTCACTGGGGAGCTAAAAAGAGGTATTTTCTTGTTTTACAAGACAATACCAAACTAATTTACAATTAGTTAAACCTTTTGTCTTTCTAGTTATCTCATTTTCATTTTAGGGTTACAATAAAATTATCATGAGATTTTATGATTCAATTGTATAAATTCATTTAATTTAATTATTGTTGGGTAACGTAAATATGAGTTAAATTTCACTGAGTAAAAATGCGAATTTAAGTTACTCAACATGTATTTGGTTCATAGTATCGTATCGTTTTCGGTATTTTGTATTCGATTTGCAATGTCATTTTCAATATTCGATATTTGATTCACGATGTTTTGGTACTCGGTATTCAGCTCTTGATATCACTTTCGATACTCGGTATTTGATTCTTAATGCCAACAGATAGAAAGAAAAACCTACAAGAAAATATTTAACTCATTAAAAACAATATATATATACACGAAAAATATCAATATTATTGGAAGAAAATTGTAAAACTAAAATAATCTCAATAAAAATTTAGAGGATCAAAATATTATATCATTTGTAATATTAATTGTATCAATTAACATAATTCAAATTCAAACAAAATAAACAATGAAATTAAACCTTTAAATTTTATATATATTATTCAAACTCTATTATTTGACTCTCATATACAAGAGTTTAGGCTCCCACGCTTGTTTATTTATTTATTTTGCACAAGCACACATGAATTAGAGTTCTGTATTTTATACGTTTTGGTCAATATATTTGACTGTTTAAGTTAGGAGTGACTGACTTTATATTTAATAATTGTGACAAATTTGAATTTATTTTTGTCCTTCACAACGTGTGTATGTGAGTGTGTTTTTTCCCTGTATACATATTATTTTATTTTTCTATGTTCAATTGATGAACGTTTAACTATATTAGGATAAATTAATCCTTTCCGACTAATTAAATGGGATAAAACTACATTGACCGACATAGAATCAAATAATTAAATGTAGTTTAATTTGAATGCTCTTATTTTTCCCTTAAATTCTGTTCTTTTTAGCACATAGCTACTAGAATTATCACAAGAACATTTTTTGTAATTTAGTTATGTATTTTTAGGTTTTGGTGGTTTGAAGCTTTCCACATTTCTATCACTAAGTTGTCTCGAGTTGTTTTGTAATGTTTGCTTGGTGCTACCTCAATAAATACTGTTCCTCCCAACAAATTATATTATGAGTAAGTAACAAGTGAAATTACTGGAAAACCATTTTTCTTAATTCGCATTCCAAAAGAAATTTCGATAGCATTTACAGTATAAAATTCACCATAACACTCTTTATAACATAAAGAAACAAAACGCTCTTTTATTCTTTCATAACTACTCTGATAAAAAATTGAAGTGAAAAAGCCATGAGCACAAAGAAGATTCTATGACTAGAGAATACAAAAATAAGGAGGGTAAAAAGAAACGCATCGAGGGTTCTGAAGGAAACATCTTTTACATTATCACCTATTTTGTTAAAAAAAATGACTGAATTTAATATGTATGTAAATTGAATTTTCTCAAGTTTGAACGATTTTCGCTTGTCGATGATAATTCACTTTTATTAAAAACAAATGAACAAATTTTAAATTTATAAAAATATTTTGATTACTTAAAAATAAAGAATTTTAAGTTTCACCTAAAAGTTAAAAATCTTCATAACTTTTTTTTCAATTTTTATATTTTTTCTCTTCATATTCTTTCTTTTACGATATCAACTCAACTTTGATAGATTTGGGAACAATATTGGTTTGGTACGTATTTATTTTTTTTACTTATGTTTATAAAAGATTATTTTAGATTCAAATCGATTATGATTATTTTTCAGTCGATTATGATTATTTTTCAGCTTTTATTATTAAAATTTCTATTTTAAATAATATTCCATTTTCTTTCTCAATCAATATTAATTATAAATTTTCTATCAACATTAAGATAATTATAAGTTGATGTCAAATACTTTTTTTTATTGATATCAATTAGGATTATCTTCAGTTAGTGGTGGTTCAAGGTTTTTTTTTTTACTAAAATGAAGGTTAAGATTTCTTAACAATATTTATTAGGATTATTTTTTAACCAGAATCAAGTTAAGGATTTTAGTTCATATTAATAAAATTAGTTTCTTATTTATATTTTTTAGATTATTTATCTATATATAAATCAAAGCTATTTTCAATTAACATTTATTTGTAAAAATATACTTGTTTAGTTGAATCTATAGTAATTTTTTCTTATTTTCATAAAAATTATTTATTGATCGATATTACTAATATTTTATAATGATAGTTTTATATTTATTATTTTTATATTTAATGACAATTAAACTATTTTATTTAAATAATACAATTAGATTTAATATATATAAATTTTAAAATTTATAAAATTCAATTCTAAAATTAGAAAACTCAATATCAATAATTAAAGAAAAACCCTATCACAAATTCACCAAAAAATAAACCATTGTCATAATTTAGTCTGTTCATCTTGTACCATTAATCTAATTTTGAGATATTTAAAATATTTTTAAGAGTAGTTTGCAAAAATTGTTTAAGAATAAAAAATATTATCTTATTAAAAAATTTAAATTATTTAAAAAAATTACTTAAAATAAAAAAAATTATATATTTTTCAACAATTTATATAGAGAACGAATTTATAATAAAATAATATTTTATTTACAGATAACTATTTGCAAAGAGATAAACGGCTCTCTTTATAAATCATCCTTCCAATATGCCACGTGTCGTCTCGGTATGATGACATGTATAACACCCCCATTTAATACTTAAACACGTTACAGGACAGTGACGAAATCACAAACGAAACCGCCTTTATATTTTTATCATTACGCGGTGAGAATAAGTTAAATTTTAATAATTATATTAATTTAAAATTTATATATTTTAAAAATACAATATTAATTAAATATAGAGAGGGGGAGGGGTGGAAACTCAAGACAGAAAACCTGGAGTTTTATCTGCAGATAACCGAATGATACCCCAAAAATAAAGGTACAGAGAAAGCAGGAAAACCTGCTCAGATACCCGAGGGGTAAACAAGACAGAGAATACCGGGAATGAACCCAGAATAAACTGCCCTGAGACCCGAAAAGGGATGGAAAGGAGGAAAGTAAAGAGACTGAAAACAAATAAATTAAAACATGTTATAACTCTTTATCTCTTCTGTCGGTCAATGTGGCTACTTAGCTCACAGAGAACTCGAAACCGGACTAGCTAAAATAAAGACTGTCCGAGATAAAGTCGGTTATAGCAAGAAAAGTGTTCACCATAAGATTATGAGATGATTGAATCTGGCATAGCCGGTTAGACATCTCCTCATAAACTTACTTATGAACGAAATTAAATGCAGAAATTTAAAGACAGGAAAAATAAACACACAAGTCCATGATAAGATTATGAGATGATTGAATCTGGCAGAGCCGGTTAGACATCTCCTCATAAGCTTATATGAACACAAATAAAGTTGTACAAAAAATTATTTAAGCCTTTAAATGATTATCGCATCTTTAAATAAATAAAGCTTAAGGCATCCGAGGACGCCCTTATAAGAAAATTACTCCATAAAGGGGAGCAGAGAGCACTTACTTGGGGGGAAGAGAAGGAGAAGGAGAGGGGAGATGCTGAATAACTTCTCTTATTGATAGTAAGAAATTTACATAAGCGGGGGAGAAGTAGAGAGAAGAAGGAGAAGAGAGAGAGGAGAGAGAGGGGAATGCTTCCTATCTTAAGCTTCTGCCCAGCATAAGGGACTTACGAAGCCTTATATAGAAAAACAAAAATATTAAACTAATGAATAGTAATTTACATGTGGGACCCACTTTATGACTAATGGGTCTCAAAACTTAGCAAAGAAGTAATCCTACGGAGGAAACTTCCTCACTAAAAACAAAACAAAAATAGTAACGTCACTACAAGACAAAAATAGTGACATTTTTTTTTTTTTTTACATTTTATCAAAAGACTGATTCAATCTTACCGTCATTAACATGCAAGGCTTAATGGGCCTAACAACATGTAACGGAAGAGGAATCGTGACAAGGTAGCAAGATATCATTATCTGCCATTAACCTTTGTCGTCTTTTGATACAGTCGTGTATGACGTAAGGGCTTACATCATGCGAAGCTCCTCGAAACCTTCAAGGGCAATATGGTCTTTGTGTGGCTAATGACGTGGGAGATTACGCCATTAGGAGTTCTTCGAAATCTTCGAGGGTAAAGTCGTCTTTATCAGAAAGACTCATTGGTTGTGGGGAGGCGGGATTTGTACAGTTCCGCCGTACATGAGCAACTTTGCCAAATTTCACCCAAAGACTGATGGTGGTGGTTTCGGCTAACAGCTCTTTATGGATATCTTCATCCTGGAATTGATCATACCTCGCTGTAGTGAAAAGAGGATTAATATGATCAATCTTTTGGAGATTATCACTGAAACAGATATCAGTGAAAGACTCAGTATCCAGAAACAAGTGATGTTTAGCTGGATAATATTCCCCTTTTATGCTGTAGGGGTGTGTTGAGAATATTTCAATGAAATATTCCTCACTGTAATTGTTTCGAAAGAACGCATTTATCCAGTAATTTATCTTGGTACCGAAAAATGGTTCTATCATAGAGTTTCTGAAAATTATCATCCTTTTCATGAATCCTGAAAAGAATAAATCTTCAGTTAATTGTTTACTGATCCAAGCAGGATCACATTCCACCAAATAAGGGTTTATTCCGATGTTGTACTAATCGGAAGATGAGGGTGCCAAGTCATCTTGATATTGGACTATCCTCAAGTATAGGCGGAGTGTAGAGTCTACTGGTAATTGGAATAACCAGTTTTGTAGTGCTCCAAGTTCTACTAAC